ATGTCGACATAATCTGAGAATATGTCGACATAATCTGAGAAGATGTCGACATAACTTTTAAATTATGTCGACATATTATCACATTTGCCGAGATAATTTTGCCGAGATAATTATCTCGTAAGTGGGTAACTCGGCTTTTTATCGTGTTAATGCTCGGGTGTGACATCGACTTACGACTTGCCATATGTCGACATCTTTCAATAATTATGTCGACATACGTAACTCGTAAGTCGCAAGTGGATGGCAGAAATATGCCACCATACTTCTCCTATTAAAAGTAATTTTTAATGAGCTTTAAAATAAAAAGTACGTTATCAGGATCTCCTTATATGTAGATCTACGTACATAATGAGGATGCAAAATTAGTAGCCGGAGAGACTGCATGGTGGTAACCTTCATGTGAGGACGTTTATTGATAACAGTTACACCCACGGAATAAGATTAGTCCGTGATATATTACACGTGAGCCATGCAAGGATATAGAATATCTAACTGTGTCTTCAGTAATACGAAATATATTTCAGAGCACGTGTGGCTAATATTTTGATATCTTTCACGAATGCTGCGCTATCGTGAAAGATATGAAAATATTATCTACACGAGTGAAATATATTTTGTATTTCTGAAGATACTGTTAGATATTCTACATCACTGTTATTACAATTTTTTTAAAGAAAACCTACACCGGAACGTAAAACGACAAATCAAGATTACAATATACTTGATCTGAATACTTTACCACTAGCATATGTCTCGACAATCCTACGCGACAAAATATAGTCCCCTCTGCAAAAAAATGTAATCAATAATTTCAACTTGATTGTGTGATTTGGAAACTGTTATACCGTGACAACAATAGCTTTAAGAAACCTTTTCTGAATTTGTGACGGAAACCAATACCTATAGTGGAACTAGAGAGTAGAGGTGTTTAGCCCCAGCAGAACGTCATCTTTAATAGCTCAGGCTTATGTTATCGTTGCCTTAAGTCTTAATCATACTTTTCCGGGTTTATTTTTCCCGCGTGTCATCTATATATAGGCCTATACATTCGTTTAAGTAGATTTTCCTAGTAGGCACTACGTACTTGGGGGAAAGTAAACTTGTTAGCATTTCTTAACTAAATAGACCACATGCATTCACGATTTTTTTATTCTTAAATATTGTGTAAAGGGTTGAATTCATGAAGTGTCATTTATTCGCTCATAGTAGAATTTTCGCGCAAACTGTTATTCATGAGTGAAAAAGAGTGTTTCATTTTGTGAAAAATTGTGTGAATTTGTAAAAAAAAAAAAAAAAAAATGTTTACATTCGTTAAAAAAGAACCTCTTAAACATAGCATGACCGATCAAACTTGAGGAAAAAGTTAAATAAGATTAAGTTAGGAATAGGTAAAACCTTACAGAATGGTTTATGTTAATGATAATATACAACATTTGATATAGCGCCCCGTGTGCTGGTGGTTTGTACCACAGGGTTGTGTATGCGTCTAGTGTGGTTGGTGTCATAGGCTCTTTTACCACCGCTGGCTAGCCTGCTTAGCAGGTGAAACAAAAGCCGAGCGAGTAAGTCTTTTTGCCAGTACATAGCCTCTACACTATTCAAGACTTCTACAATGCCTCCTTGCGACAGCACATGGTAACTAGGATTTAACAATCCTAGGCAAAATTGTAGAGGATATCGGAGCAGGAAGGGCCCTAGGAGATGTAGTGCGTAGGCCCACCGGCGTGTGTACATGCCCTTGCACTCATCAACCTTGCCCCAGCTATGGGTAAATAGCACCAAAGCACTACTGCCTTGTGGTTAGATTTGGGATAATCAAAGGCTTTAGGACCAGACCCAGAAAGAAAAGCTGGGAAGATGGAGCTCGTCAGCCATGGTAGGCAATCGTCTATGGGAAGGAAAACCCAGATAGAAATACTCGATCCTGCAGGTAGTAGGTTTCTCGCATGGCTGGCTAATGACCAGGCAGATTAAAGAATAGCTGATTACGGAAACCCAAGATACATTAAGAAATCAGCATGAGGATAACGACTCTGCTGTACGACATGGTATGAGGGACATGACGCTTATGGATGAAAGCCCACGGGAAGTCCACAAGCCGACACCCCTATGTACACCAAAATTAAATATATTTTTAGGAAGTTGGAACGTAAGAACTATGTATGCTACAGATAAAACAGCAGAAGTAGAAAGGGAAATGGACATATACAAAATCGATTCACTAGCCTTAAACGAAGTCAGATGGGTAGACAGCGGAAAGACCACACTTCAAAGCGGTAAAGCTATATTATACTCAGGAAGGAATGATGGATTACATCAAGCAGGAGAAGTAATGATGTTGTCAAGCAGAGCAAAAAAGGCATTGATTGAATGGAAACCAATATGAGAGAGATTAGTGTATGTCAGATTCCACACAACAACACTAAAGATTAGTATCATCACTGTGTATGCACCGACCAACGATGCTACAGACGAAACAAAAGAAAGTTTCATAGAACAGCTAGATAGAGTTATAGCAGGGACACCCAAACATGGCATCCTCTTAGTAATGTGAGACTTTAATGCAAAGGTCGGGATGGACAATGATGGTCATGAGAACATCATGGGAAGGCACGGAATGGAAAGAAGAAATGAAAATGGAGAGAATCTCTTTGATATTTGTCAGAGGAACAACCTTGTTATAACTGGCACCATCTTCCCACATAAAGACAAACACAAAGTAACATGAATATCACCAAACAATAGAATAGAAAATAAAATAGACCATATCTTAGTCACAAGACAACACAGAACATCAATACTTGAAACCTTGGGTCTCAAATCATAATACAAAGGATCCAGGAAGGAATAGATGAAGAGCTAAGACAAGAACAAGCTGGCTTCAGAAAGGGAAAAAGCACTACTGAGCAACTCTTCACTTTACGAAACATCATTGAACAATGTTCTGAATGGAATGCTCCTTTATACATAAATTTTGTAGACTTCGAGAAGGAGTTTGATTCCATCCACAGGGAAATCTTATGATCCATCATGAAAGCATATCACATCCCAGACAAACTCATCACAGTAATAAAACTCTGTTATGTTCAGTCATAGACGAAGGGATACAATCTGATTGGTTCAAAGTTAAAACAGGAGTAAATTTCTGTTAGCCATTGACTATGTCATGAAGCAAACAACAAAAGAACATGAAACAGGAATACGATGGAAATTTACCACCAAATTAGAAGACCTTGATTTTGCAGATGATCTTGCACTACTATCTTCCAAATTCCAACATATACAGCTGAAAACAAACAAACTTCAAGAAAATGCCAGTAAGATAGGATTAAAGGTAAATGCTTCCAAGACTAAAATAATGCGGATGAACACCACTAATAACAACCCAGTGAAGTTGAATGAAAAAGACCTAGAAGATGTTGATACCTTTACTTACCTAGGAGGAATAGTAACAACAAAAGATGGCTGTAACAATGATATAGACAACAGGTTCAAGAAAGCGAAAGGCCAATTCAGCAGGTTAAGAAAAAAATATGGAGATCATCAGTACTGTCATTAAAAACAAAGGTCAGGCTATTTAACAGCCTGGTTATACAGTTCTACTGTATGGATGTGACACCTGGAAAACAACAGAAGAAGACAAAAAGAAATTGAACACCTTCCAAACTAGATGTCTGAGACAAATTTTGAAAATAAGATGGCCCAACACCATATCAAATGAAAACCTTCACATCAGAGCTGGAACAAAGAAACTTAGTGATGATATTATGGAACGTCGTTGGAGATGGATTGGCCATGTACTAAGAATGGACACCAACATCATATGTCCAGTGGCACTGACACGGAAACCAGAGGGGAAAAGGAAAGTAGGACGTCCCAAAACCACCTGGAGACGGACTGTTGAGACAGAAAGAACAACACTCGGATGGAACAGCTGGGCTACAGCAAGGACAACAGCTAAAGACCGTGTCAAATGGAAAACATGTATCTGGGCCTTACCGACCGGCATGAACAGGATAGGTGAGGTGAGGTGATATAGCGCCCTATCTAGCTAGAATAAGCCACCCTAAAGCGCTTTACAGTACATATACATAGTCTTTTCTCCCATAACGTTCATAATACATCTAGAAAACCATACACTTCTCTTGTAAATACACGATTTCTGTTCCTTTCGAGAAAACAATGACATCACAATGGAATATGCCAGTGCAAAGTGGCATTGAACATCGGGGTTTCCTATGGCGTCCAAATTAAAAAAGACTGACCAGTGAAATCTCGTCCGTGGTGTTACCCTAGTACGAGGGTATCAAAACACTTTTAATTACTTCTAGCAACTTTATCAAATGAGTCGGGGGCTAGGAAAACAAATTTCTACTAATTCGGACAAATATCGAAATTCATTTTTTCCCAGAACTATCAGTACATGGAATTCTCTGCCCGAAGATATAGCCCAGTCACCTGACTTGAACCATTTCAAATCAGCTCTGTCTGCCTATCATCCTAAAAACCTCTATATTAACTCTTATCGTGCATGTACATAGCTTTATCTTATCATAAAATAACCAAAAACATTAATGCCACCTACAAGGACACCTAAAATTGCGGCAACTGCACTCATATCTATGAGATCTGCCGCAGTAAATGGAAGAAGAAGAAGAAGAAGGTTGTTGGAGAAATTATATGAACGATACAGGAGAAACGTGCCCCTAAACTCGTTATGGCTGTTTAATAAGTTTACCTAACTCCGTATTAGCTAGTATTCAAATTGTTAAAAGACACGCAGTAAACCTTTGACTTTAATACAATCTAAAATTTAATTGACTTGAGTCATATGAACATTATAACTTACCAATCAGCACCCACTGGAGAACCTTAAACAGCATGGCCTTTTCAATGTGAAAGTAGTGTGCATTGTATAACGTTAAGCTTACATCGGCTACAGAGTACAGTAATGATCAATATTGGGATATGATATATCTTAATACATTCTAGTAAAAATCAATAGACTACATACATTGGTTAATTAATCTTACATCCATGTACAGTTCCATAAACAAAGAAACGATGTTACAGTAACATTATTCAAAAATGTTTACACATTCATATATTTTTCTGTGAGACAAAACTGTGGCAAAGTGCACGTGACATGACGTCATTGTCCGCCATATTTGTTTTCCGAGAGGAAGCCCTACTGACGGCATTTTATTTTACAAAAATGGCCTGTTGCTGTACTTCTGCGGAAAATAAGGTTAGACCTTTCAAGGTAATTTTGAATAATTTGATTTGCGATAACACCTAGAGCAGCATTAAACATAAAGCGATGTTCACAGCGGAGCTGTAGGCCTCTAGCCTTGTTAGGTAAATTTTGCGACACATTTTCCCTATATTGTTGCTGTTGTTTTCCCCACAGGTGATGATATGTTGCGTACAGAGTCAAACTATTGTGTTGACTTTCAAAAATCGAAGACTTTTTAAACGTGTTCTTTTATGGTTTGATTTCTAATCTGTTGGAAGAAACATTTTCGAATTCTACCAGTTGAAATGTCCCGCCGAATAACTTGCTCAGTTGGCGTTGAACTTGACCGATATGCCTACTGTACTGTAACGACCAAAGTCAGAACATATTTGTTTCTTCTGCTCTTGATGCTCGAATAAGTTGGTTGTCAGGCTAGTCTGTCACTCCACCTGCGTCTGAATCTCACCAATCTGCCAATTATTTACAATAGCTTAAAGATTTAAACAATATCTCGAAATTAAGATGACCTATTTTGACATTTCTTATATTTCTTATCAACAGGCTAGTGAGGAAAGCTTGGATGATGGACCTCTGAAGGACAGACAGTGTCGAGATGTCATCTTTCTCCTCATCTTCATAGCATTTATGTGCGGAATGGTACTGGACACAATTAAATTATGTTTTCAAAATAATTAGGTTGGAAAAATACAGATCTGACCTCATCATCTATTTTTATTAACCATACACTCTTTTAAATGGCAGAACCAGTCAAATGAGGGTGACAAATATCTGTCATAAAAAAAATCTGATGAATACCACAGGCACAGCACTGTGGTTGAAACTTATAACTTTGGCCTACATTTTATAAAAGTTTTTGGTTGTATTTAGAAGAAAAAAATACATCTAAAGTGAGATCTGTAGTTGTCTTTCATTCCTGTAACTAATATCAACAGCATTCATTGAAGTACAAATGCAAGTTTTATAGCCCAATCAGGCGCGTAGCTACCATGTAAGCCAATAAGCCCGGGCTTGCACATGATTTTGACAGGTATAGGTTTTCATGACGTTATTTTTTCTTGCTGATACTTATATAGTATACATATGTAATTCCTCAGATATGATACAGTGTTAATAGTAAGTACAAAAATGTACGAAGTTTAGAAATGTCCATTGCATTAATGGACAGTTCCAGGCGGAACTAAACTGCTCGATTGAGTAAATTGAGAAACACACGCCTGGCGCAAACGACTCCGAGTATGGCACAGTTGACACAGACAATCAATGTTTATTTTTTATGGAAATATCAATTTGGGGCACGTTCGGCCCCTTTTGCCGTGGCACATTCGGCCACCCCGAATGCAACTGTTATTGTGCCAAGTGACGTCACTATTGATAACGTCACCCAATTGACCACAAAAATAATATTTTTACATTGCAAAAATTAAGTATTTTTTTCTTTGTATTCACTGATTTGTTCTGGACTTATTTTCCAACAAAATTGAATGAAATTCCATACACTTATTAGTAAATTGTCTTCTCTATCCTTCATGCCATACTTGCCCTGATAGGGGCCGGATTTACCTCAGGGCGGGGCTTGTCCGGCCCCCAACTCTCTCGACCTAAAAAGTCCAATAATTCCCAAAATATGGTCTTGTTTACGATTTGGTTATTAGTTTATGAAAGACAATACATTTCTTTTCTAAATGACATATATAAATATGCAGTTCAACAGTATAGTACATGCCTTCCATAACATCTTGAAAAAAGAAAAGGGGCCGTGTTTGCCCCGGGCCCCCCTACACATGTATTATACATGTGTAGGGGAGACCGGGGCAAGTCCGGCCCCTTTTTTAAAACTATATTATAGTTTACAACATATCATTATCTCAGACATCAGGACGTGGGAAATGGCACCTGAGACATTCTAGAAAACAAAATTTTCATGGGGGAGACCCCCCAGACCCCCCTTACGGGAGTGGGAAGACCCACTCCCGTACCCTCACCCTGCTCGCGCTACGCGCTTCGTGGGGGGGGGGCTGCCTTTGGCAGCCCCATATCAAGGCTTACACATGGTAAAGAGGCTAGCTACGCGCCTGCCAATCTTGAACAAATATAAGACAACATGTCATCATTCAGAGTTGTGTTGAGTTATCTCCCTTCATTTCTTTTAATTGTTAGTATTTTATGATAACTTACAATTACCTAAGCTTTAACAAATGCATGTATTGAAATTAGTACCTTACAAATGTGCAGTAAGCCATATCTTATATATTTGTTTATATTTGATAATCACTAATTTAATACATGTAGATAGTTCATTATGATTTAATAATTATTTCATAATGAATAATATTTTCTATGGATATAGAGGCAGAGTGTATGCCTGCATCCATTATTTATCCTATTGTATGATTTGTATATATGTATTAGGTTATCTTCTGTTTTATATATATTTCACTCAAAACATATACTACATTGATACTATACATAACTAGAAAGGACATCAAAAACTTTATCAACAAAATGTTAAAGAGATGATTTAAAATTGTTGTTTGACTTTAAAGTAATTCTTGCGCTTTTCTTAGTATTATATGTTTTCTGTCATAGGCGGGTGTGGCGTACTTGGGGATAGTCAAAGGTGACCCTTACCGACTTATCTATGGAGTGGATAGCTGGGGTAACACTTGTAATCGTAACAATGCCCCCATTGAGAGTGCCAGTTTCTCTGGAAAGGACATGACAGACATGAAGTAGGTAACTTACCTGAAACATTGTTTTACAGTGTGATAAATATAGTCTGTAACACACACCAGACCACAGGTAGTTGTCACAATTTTTTAACATAATCCCATAAATATATTTAGTTAACAAGATAGGAATGACAACTGCCAGTACTTTTACAAGACGAAAAATATGAATCTGGGATCTCGCAATTCTAGAAAGATGATCTGACCGACTCGGCTTTCTATTCACCATAATTGACCTAGTCCAGCTCTGCTACAGATGTTTGTATTTTTTTATGGAAAATGAAGGATACTAGTTTGGGAGTGTCAGTCTGTTATTTTTGATTTCTGTGTAAGAACTGCCATAATTAGGTTCAATTTCAGCCAATTTTGTTATGCACACACAGAATGGAAGTAATGGTAAGTCTCAGGTTATGTTTGGTGTGAATCTGATGCATCAATCATTTAATAATGAGGCCAATTAATCAGAACTGGTAAATGGATTTTCTTTTGTAAATTTTCTTTATTTTGACTGTTAAAACAAGTTATGTATCTGTTTGTCATAGCCCAAAAATAACGCACTACAGCCTAGCTAATAGCTCATTTCATACACAAAGGGTATTGTTTTGTAATGCAGTCTGGCATTTTGTTGTTATTTGTTGACAGGAAGATGTTTTACTTCGACCAGATGTATTTTGCAAGCTACATCCCAAACGGCCCTATATTGCCAGAGAAGAATTACCTGAAGACTTGTGTGGCGAGCTGTCCTGATCAACAGCTTAACCTGGATTCAGACTACAACAGTTACTATAACACAACAGGAAACAACCTATGTCGTCATGATGTCACTTCCTATGAGGATGTGCACGACAAATGTCCGCCATTACCCATAACGCCCCAGTATGTAATGATCGCAGATTTATTAGTCAAGTACGGTAATTAAACAAATATTTCAAAGTAAAAATGAAGGTCTTAACATTATTGTCAATAATAGTGTCATTTTTTAAAAGATTTCATCAAGCAAATTGCCAATTACTATGTATCATTACATATATGAGACTGTCTAAAGTGATTCTTGGAAAAAAGATTCCAAACTGCCAAACCTTTATGATTTGTAATAGATTTTGTTTGCTACATGGAGTCCTGCTTTTGTTATTACTGGTATATAAATAATTTTTATGTTCCAATATTAAGGAATAGTTTTAAAACTTAAAATTTGAACTTTATACTGATATCAGTTAAGTTATTCCATTAATGTTACAGTGTGAGCCTTTTTCATCGCTGTGTACCAAATACTATTGCTGACACAGCAGCTATGATGGCAAAGTCCTTTACCAACATCCTGGGCAGTGCCAGTCTGGGAGATGGCATTCCTCAGGTAATGCAAAATAATGCTGTTTGCATGAAAGTCCTTTTTGAACTCAGATTTGTCCAAAAGGATTTGAGGTGAAAGCTGTGACTCGTCTACCTCAGGAGTATACATGCAGTTTCAAATATTGGGTTCAAGTACAAGCTTGCTTTTAGATTTAAAAAAAATCCAAAGTACAGTACTTAAATGTTTTGACATATGGTTCCGATTTTGAAATTTGTTTTCTTTTTCAGAAAATCCTATCTGATTTGAATACAGCTTGGAAAGAAATCCTTTATTTGTGTGGAATAGCATTTGGTAAGGTTTATCAATTCATGCATTACCAATCAAGATGTAACATATAAGTAGTCTTGTCTTGTTAACTCTAGTGATTAACTGGCATTTTTTTGTGCTGACAGTGACCATGCAGTTCATCCATCAACTCTTCAAAAAATCAATTTTGTTACCGTTAACGCAAAATACATCTGGTCGAAGTAAAACATCTTCCTGTCAAAAAATAACAACAACATGCCAGTATGCATTACAAACCATAAATCAATTAGCTCTAATGGTATTAAACTGCAGTGGTGTCAAATGAAGTTTTTTTATGAAATTGAAAAATAAGTTTTTAATATAAAATTCCTGCATTTTAGCCGATGCTTTACCTAGCTAAGTGTTCTAAAAAGTGGCTTGAAATTTGGTAAAATTAAGTGGTCCATCAAAAATAAAACTATAGTATTAACTGGTATTGGCTAATGGCTGAATCAAGCTCTGTATTGAATTATTTTTCTATAACCTCTTTCTCCCACAGCTGCATCCCTGTTGATTGTGCTGATGATGTGGCTCCTTGCAGCTATAATCATCTGGGTGATGGTCATTGCTGTGTGTGCCTTCACTCTGGGTCTCACAGCCTACTCTTGGTACAATTTTATAAAATGCTAATTTTAAAGGAACTATAGAGATTAAGATATAGAAAGTCATGACACATCATTATTTCATACTCTTTATTTGAAAGGAAAATTTGGTAAAAGCTGGTTAACAAGTTGCAATAATTTAAACTTAAACTTTTCACATATAAATTATCATTTCTTCTGAGATGTGTGAATGTCTGAGGACAAAATCAGTGTTTGTTGATGCTGTTCCCATATCCAGTTGAAGAAAAAAGTTGTAAGAGATTCCAAATACATGTACTTGAAGCAAAAAAAAATGTCATACTTTGCCAACTTTAAAACAGCTAGTTACTTACACTGCATATCAAATTGAAATTAGGTTATGATATAAAGATATCAAGTAATAAAGAAATTAACAGACATAAGATCTCTTTAGATCTGTTTATATACAGGTATTCCTACTATGGCTGGTACACGGATTATAATGCACTAACTACAGATGAGCAGACAGAGGCAGCCTCAGAGAAAGTACAGACCTGGCTCATATACTCCTGTATATCCTCTGCAATCACGGTAGGACAGAAGTACTCTCACTCATTTTCTCCAATAAAGTGTGTGCTTTACATATAACAAAAGGCTCCAAAATCCTCCAAAAGCTGAGATTTAAATAATTTTTGCCATTTCTCATTTCAATGGTGCATACAGGTCATCTGTCCTCTCAGAGATATCTGTCCTCTCAGCTATGTGGAAAATACCTTTTCATCAATTTTTAGCTCCATAGTAACAGCAAAGGACAGTTAAGGATCCCCCTCCCTCCACCTAAAAATGTAATGAGGCATTGTTTTTTTATCTATGCGCATCGCTTTGCATAACCAAATCATTTGTGAACCCATACCTTGCGGTAGTTTCTTCAGATTTTTTTGGATGTTATTAAATTTTGATTTTGTTTTTCAATGGAACAAAATGAAACAAAATAAATTATATTTGATGCAACAATGGTTTATTAGAAATTAAACACATAAAAAATAATAACAATGTCAATACTGATGAACAAAACACAAAAAAACTGAGTAATTTTCTAACAGTAATACTAAAACAAACAAAAATGCCCGTTACATGAATCAATAAAATCTCACTAATTTTAAAAGGGAATGGAAAAAATGGGAAAGATTACTGCAGGCCATATAACTGAAATGTAAATTAATTATAATAATATAGTACCAATGTAATTCCTGTTAAAAGTAGCCTTTGTACAAAAATTTACACAATATTGAACAATAAGCCCTTTTTCAAATCCTTCGACACCTCTCCAACCTTCCTTTTCTTTCTTGTCCCTCTCTCTCTTTATTACTCTTTTTTTTTTCTTTTTTTTTTTTCAACATAATTTTATTGTCGTAAATAAGGACAATTAGGATTGAGCACAAGTTTTGCCAACTTAGTAACGCCCTCTCCTTAATACATCATGTTGTATAATACATAATGGACAGCAGTGAATTAACTTTATCCAATCATATAGTAGAAACAGTGAGGGAAGGAAAGCAAAAAGAAGACGGGTAAAAGATAGGTAGAATTATCCCCTAAATATATATATAATATACAAACACATGTAAATGTTTAAAACAATATTTGGTTAACAGTAATCTGACTGGCTGGAAAAACATCAATCAACACTTTCATAAACTGTGTCCATCACATTCCATAAAGCTGTATTCTGTAGGTCCACTCGTAACCGTTCCGTGTTCTCAAAGCCCTTCCTCCACACCAGCCAGATCAATTATTTATAGTAATCACTGTCTGTCTGTCTGTCTGTCTGTCTGTCTGTCCGTCCACTAATTTTGTTCCTGGCTGATAACTTTAGTATTTATTGACCGATGGACATGAAACTTGGTCAAGATGTTCAGTTCACAAAAATACACATTGAGGAAAAAAGTCAAGGTCAAAGGTCAAGGTCATGAGGTTCAAAGGTCAATGTCAAATTTTACATCTTTTCACTGATGAACATTTTGTTATGACATTATGAAGCAAAGTTGATCAGAATTAAACAAGGAGTCAACTTACCAAAGGTCAAGGTCATTGGGTCAGGGGTCAAGGTCAAATTTTGTAGCTTTTCACTGGTGAACATTTCACTATGACATTATGAAGCAAAGTTGTTCAGAAATAAACAAAGAGACACACTGAGGTAAAAAGTTGAGGTCAAACGTCAAGGTCATTATATTCAAAGGTCAAGGTCAACTTTGGCATATTTTCACTGATGAACATTTTGTTATGACATGATGAAGCAAAGTTGATCAGAATTAATCAAGGAGTCAACTGATCAAAGGTCAAGGTCATTGGGTCAAAGGTCAAGGTTAAATTCTGTATCTTTCCACTGGTGAACATTTCGCTATGACACTTTGAAGTAATGTTGCTCAGAATTAAACAATGAGTCAATTGACCATAGGTCAAGGTCACTGGGTCAAAGGTGAAGATTAAATTATGTACCTTTTCCCTGATGAACATTTTGTTATGACATTATGAAGCAATGTTGTTCAGAACTTAGCACAGGGTCTACTGACCTTAGGTCCAGGTTACGGGGTCCAAAGGGTCAAGGTCAAGTTTTGTATTTTTTACTGATGAACATTTTGTTATGATATTAAGAAGCAAAGTTGGTCAGAATTAAAGAATAAGTCAACTGACCGGAAATCAGGGTCACTGGGTTAATGGTCAATGTAATTTGGGTCCAAAGGTCAAAGACAAAGTGGATCTCTGACTTTGACCCTGGCTCTTGATGTAGGAGGTAGTAAAGGTGAAATAAAACAAATCAAAGCTAACAAATGAGTATCGCACCGGTATTTACATTTCTGTTAGCCCAGCAAATATGGAGGTGGAAGGAAACAAGACTCACATCATAGAACATGTAAAATGTATATTTTGCTTCCTTGCGATTCTTTTTGAAGTCCAAATGTCAAACGTCAAGCTCAGCTATATGGGCAGATTGCTTCTTGATGATTATGGGGGATATATTGCCACAAGACGGGGCCCTTACTGACCTGTCAGTGTTCTAGTTTATTCAAAATTATGTAAACATATTAACANTGAGTCCTCGCACGTGTGTCCACATTCACATTGTGCTGAAAAAGTGATATTAGCTCTAAAAAGATCATAATTGAGAGTACTTGCTCTGTTTCTTAATCTACAATGAAGAATATTTGGCCTACGCGGACCAAAATTGAGAAAGCATGGATTACCATTAGTTATTACATTATTCAACTGTATATTTGATTTGAACGAGTTCAGAGTTTGAGAGTGTCTTATGGTTGTGTCTAAATTATTCCAAAGATCAACAGTTGAAGGAAAGAAAGAGTTGCGCATAGTTTGGAGTCTATACCATTGCTCCCGTAATTGCTGAGAATTTCTTAAGTTATAATGAGTCAGATCTCCAATATTTTGAGGTAGGATATTACATAAGTCTTTTCTTTCCTATATCTTCTTCTAAAACAGTACAATGGTACATAACACCTAATATCCTGGTTTCAGCATGTGAAAATAGTCAAACTGGTTTTTTTTTCTTTTTTTTTGTATTTGTTTGCTTCTCAACTTCAATGCATACAATATTAATCTATGTATCATGTTTCAAACTTATAAAGAAAATAATTGTTTTTCTGCATTGGTAACCAAATCGATGAAATAATATAAATTCTTAAATAAAATGTCAAGACAAACAAAAAACTTGTGTGAAAATTAAGAATGTCAGACTGAAATATGATGTGTTATGTTTAATGTACTGTCAAAAAAAATCAAAAAATCAAAAAATATAAACAAAAAAAATCAATCTGAGTGCCAATGCAACATGTTTAGGACAACAAAAAGAAAATATAGGTGACAAAAAATAAATATCTTGCAGACCTACTTATACAAAAAATTATAAAGATACAAACTAAACAAAAAAGAGAGACAACTCTTACATTTGTAACGATAATAATGATAAATCCCAAAAAGTCATATATACAATTTACAACATACAATATAGCACTTTTTATATACGAATATAATACAGTAGGCATTACCAACCATTAAAGTTACTTCAAATAACCAATATAAAACAAAACTGCACATTGTGTATGAATAACATTATAACAAACAATGTACTTTACTGTGTCATAGCAAAAATGTCACAATGAACAACAATAACAAAGTTTCACATACTTAACACAACAATAATAAATTTCTACATAATAAGCAAATAACATACCATGTTGTGATATAAAAAAATCACGCTATATACAACAATAATAAACTTTTACATTCTGAACAAAAAAATAATAAACTTTTACATTATGTACAAATAACAACATACGATATTGTGGTATAAAAATATCACATTGTAAAAATAACACTGTTGTATGTAATAAAAAAAATGAACTTGAAATATAGGCCTATGGGGTATATACATGTCATAACAAATATAGAATATAATCCTGACTATTGTGATGTATAAAATACTACTTAGGCTAAAATATCTTTCCTGTCGGGTATTGCACAACCGTAGCCTAGTACCGCATTCCTTACAACCTTTCTGGTCCATATATTCAGATAGCATCGCGAGTTCGACCACTCGTCTACCCTGCAACCAGGTTAAAAGGTTATTGACGTATTCGTGATCACTAGTACTGGAGGGATCCTCATCGGACGTCAGTGTCGGCTCATCAGTAAAATTTCCAGTAAGCTTAGTATAGGGGCCTCAGTAGCCAGCGTCTCTTCAATGTGTGAACGAGTGTCACTTTGTTTCGTCGCATAGTCATGGTCTTGCAGTTGATATTGGACATCGTTGTTATTATTGTCAGTGAATGCGTTTAGTTTACATTTAAAACAGCCGATTTTACGTCGGGTTTGCATGTCGGCCATCACTGCCACGACGTTGTTTACATTGATACGACAGCTTTTTTTACCCACACTTTCGCGATTGGAGATTTTCAATGCAAGGGACACAACTCTGTAGTCGAAATGTTATTCAAACGAAATCTATTCAAGGGAAGATAACAACATTGTCGACATGGTAATCAGGGGCAGGTGACTCCTAACACTGAAAAACGACAATGGAATTCTTTAGTGTTTTGCTCTGGCTGGGACGAGGATCCTTAAGGAGGTGCCTCTATGTGTATTATGTATGCATGCATGTGTGTTGAAGGCAGCATGTTGGTATATATATATATATATATGGCAATGAATTAAAAATACCTGGTCATCATGATAAACAGTATTTACATGTTTATTTGAACTTAACTGTAAAGTATACTTTGAGTGTCATGTTCAGTTTTATTTCGCCACTGATGCTTCATCTTTTCATGCAGGTGATTGTTTTGCTGCTCTTATTTATTATGAGGAACAGAATTGCATTGGTGAGTTACGATCTCTTTTGTAACCCTTCCATTAAAAGAAACTCTTTTATTTTAAGCATCGACACCAGAAAAATGCTGGATCACTCATGTGTATCTTGTACTTGCTGCATTCGAAGTGAGCAAGATCTCGAGAAACTATCTCTAAGCTACACATATCTAAATAAGTTGATAAAGGGTTTAAGATTAACTTTGTGAAAGTGTTAAACATTGTGATTCAACTATTGGTCATATAAAATTAGCAGAGAATTTTGAAAACAAAGCATGTGCAGAAATGTGATAAGGTGATCACCAGGAATGAATGTCTATATCCCTCAACATGTGTTTGATATTGATCTTGCCAAATTGAGATCAAACATAAAGATGGACGTTTTTCTGCCTGAAAGGTTGTGCAGCTGTTTGAAGAAGCTGGGAAAGCTATCAGAGCGATGCCATTACTGCTTCTCCAGCCACTGTGGGTAAGGTGTCAATGACAAGTATTGTTTCCTATTGTCTTCTCAATGTCCAACTGTTGGAAATTAAAAATTGAAACAATGTAGGTTTTTACTGTCGCTAAACACGGAGTGCTATAATGTTGTTTCGGATGGCATTGTTCAAACTAAGTGAAAATAATTTCAGTTTTTGAATGCCATGCGTATAACCCATGTGTTATTTTGGTGGTCCACACATCTCTTAGAGGTCACATGTTTAAACTGTTGAAGGGTTAGATGAATTAAGGGTTCCAATGGGGTACAGTAGCTTCCATTAGAAGTGTTGTTCGGAATCTGGAACAGATACTCTTCCATACAGGGTAGACTATAAAAGATAGACTAAGAGTGGTAGACTGGTCACAATTTAATTATACCCCCTGCAACGAAGTTAAGGGGGGGTTTACTGGAATCAGCTTTTCTGTCCTTCCCTCCGTAGAAAAAGTTTGTCAGCACAACTAAAGAAATGGACCAATTTCAACGAAACTTTCCAGATATGATAACTACCACCTAAGTTGTGCATCCAGGTATCATTTTTTTCGTTCTGACCCTTTTGTACGAAGTTATGGTCCTTTGTTAAAAAAAATCCTGAAACTTTTTGTCCAGACAACTCCTTCTAAAGTTATGGATAGATTCAACGGAACTTTCCAGATATGATAACTACCACCTAAGTTGTGCATCCAGGTATCATTTTTTCGTTCTGACCCTTTTGTACGAAGTTATGGCCCTTTGTTAAAAAAATCCTGAAACTTTTTGTCCAGACAACTCCTTCTAAAGTTATGGATGGATTCAACGCAACTTTCCAGATATGATAACTACCACCTGAAGTTGAACATCCAGGTATTTTTGTCCGTACAACTCCTCCAAAACTATGGGGCCAATTTCAAGAAAGTTTTCAGATGTGATAACTATCACCTGAAATTGTGCAACCAGGTATAACAAATTTTGTTCTGACCCTTTTTACGGAGTTATTGCCCATTGTTGAAAAATGATTGCAGGCACAACTTCTCCAAAATTACTTGACCAATTTCAATGAAAGTTTTCAGATATGATAAGTACAAAAGTGATGTTGTGCATCTAGGTATTATTTTTTTCAGTCTGAGTCTGACCCTTTTTTACGGAGTAATGGCCCTTTGTTGAAAAATTCTTCTTCAGACAATTCCTCCAACACTTTACGCTCCCAATTTCAACAGAGCTTTTCAGATATCATAACTACCACCTAAAGTTGTGCATCCAGGTGTTTTTTTCCAACCCTTTTTGATGGGTTTTTTGCCCCTTTGTTGAAAAATCCTTGTCCTGACAACTTCTTCTAATCTATTAGGCCAATTTTAAAGAAAGTTTACAGATATGGCAACTGCCTCTTGATGTTGTGCATCCAAGTAGTATTTTTTTCATTCTGACCTTTAAGAAGTTATGGCTCTTTGTTAAAATTCCTTGTCCTGATATCTCTTCCTTAACCACAAGGACGATTTCAGAAAAACTTGTTCATCTGGGCTAATAACATTTATTTTGCAAGTACACTGTATGTTTTGGCATTGAGAGGGAGCACAGGAAATATGTGAGTGACCTGTATACTTAAATAAGTGTACAGCTCAGCCAATAAAGAAATCATTACTGGTGGGACACTATATTGCTTTGCAAGGCTTTGCCTTAGTCAGCCTTTGGCTTACAGTTCTAGTTTAAACAGACGCATGTATTAAGTTTTGATTTAGCTAATAACGGGCCATCTCATCAACTCTGACAAGTATAATAAAAACATTTGACCATTTCAAGAAAACATGACAGGTCAGTTTCTTGCAAGCACATTTAAAAATATCACAACAAATCAACATCAGAACACTGGATGTTAAGTTGTCCCCTAATTTAAAAGAGACGCTTAATTTACAACTATCGATAAGATGTTTCTTATATTCTTTTTAAACATTCTATATTGGTAGAGTTTTTGCCTTTATCCATCCCCTTGACTGTTAATGGGTTATGGTAAATTTTAAATATTTATCTTGGTCCAGACTGGGATCAGTACATTGTTGTTAGGAAGTGGCTTTTATGGTATAAGTAATGGTTCCCTTTGTTTCTCAATGTCGGTTTGGGAGCGGCTATCAGAGCCTTACTTGGTGTGATCATGTCTATATCAGTATTATAATATTCCTTTGATAACTTAAGTCACAATACATCTCCTTGATTATTCCAGACACTGCTGGCCTTATTGGGGTTGGTTGCAGGCTTGGCTGCTGTTGCTGCCTACATAGAAACTTCAGGTGAGTCGCCCACCCTGTTTCAGTCGTTGAAATCCAAGGTTTACCAAATGTATCGGGACAGAATTGCCTACTGAGTAACTGGGAACTGCATGCAAGTCTCATTGGAAGCGTAATGATCATCATTTGTGCTGGAGCCAAGTTCACCTTGTCATGGAAATTGGAATTCTTCCAAAAAACAGTACATTGAAAAAACAACAAAAAATGAAATACTAACTCCATATGTAGATACTTTTTGAATCATCAATATTGACTTTAATTAATCAGTAAACCTACACATAACAAACTAACACACAGCGATACAGTTGTTTTCAAATTTACTATTAGATATATACTTTACCTATGTTTACCAAAAACAGGTGCTTTTTTTTACTATAATACCTTTGTTTGACGTAAAAGAACGTTTTTTATTCAAAGGATCTAGATAGGATACAAGATAGATGTATCTGCCAGAGCTTTATTTCATGGTTTAAAACTTTAACAATCCACTGCTGATAGGTTTACCAGTAGTGGACACCACCAATAGCACAGTTGACTTCCAGTTTGAGGAACATTGGAATGTAAGTCCATAAACATTAGATAAGTTACATGTTTATTGAATCAACTTTAGTTAGGCACCTTTTTGCCTGCAATGTATTTCACATTTGAGGTCCAAGAGATCTTACTAATTATTAGAAATAAGGATGATCTTGAAGTTTGATCCAAGTGAAGTCAGTGGAGGAAGGTTAATAATTTCTTTCAATCTCAACATGCATTCATTGGGTTTCATGACCAATATTTTGACCCAGAACCTATTTTTACTTCAAATGAGAGTATGTTCTTATCACCATGCAGCAATCATTTATCTTTACATAGTTGTTTCTAAATCATATTCAACATATCTGTCTTGCTGACCATATGATGACACACACTATATATATACATATTTGTTTGTAATCCAGGTTGGAATGTCCATTATATATATATATATACACAGTATTCAACTCTAAATCATGCAACTGGATTTGTAAAAGCACAAGTTCTGCCAGAACCCGTATACGAAAAAAAGAAAAACCCTCCATTTGTGGCACCTCCAAATATTTTAGGAATGTCTTACCAAATTGTAATCTGATCAACAACAATTAATTCACCAAGTTAGTTTGTTTTATGTAAACCAAGAGAATGTTTAGCATTTGTTGTTTTAATATTATTAATGAGTTTGAATTTCATATTTATGTTTACATAGTTTGCAGTTATCATTGCATTTACACATTTAACTGATGCAACCTTATGGGTCAAGGTCATTTATTGTTCTTCATTCCAGCAAGGCTAGCCAAAGGGAATAGATTCATTATGACTGCAAGCCTTGGGGTTCTTGAGAAAGGAAAAAAGTCTCTTTGAAGGTTTTGACCCATTTGAATCATGCCTTGAATGTGGGTCATTTAAGGTGATGTCAATTTTGATAGCCCTTGCCCCAATAAGCTGCATGCAAAGCTTGACATTAGAAGAAGTCTGTTACAGAAAACACTAACTTTGGGGTAAATTTGTTCACCATCCATAATGATTGTGAATTTATCATTACAGTGGATATAAGTAAACAACTTATATAGGTGAGCATGTTACAATGTAACAACAACTTCATAAAATTTGATTAAACCATCAGCATCGAGGCCTAAATACATAGTGTTGTACTAACTAGGATAACGGTGAACTTCTAGCTTCACGCTAGAGGGAATTTCCCTTTAGCTAAGTGGTAGAGCGTCCGACTAGGAAGTATGGGATCAAGGGTTTGATCCCTTGTAGAAACGCACTACTCTATCCTGTTACACATAGTAAATAGATGTGAAGGGCGAAATTAACGACATGTAAAAAATTATTTCCTTGGCAAAGGGTGCACATTTGAGTGAAAGTTTCCTGGTGTTTAGTAGGTGTAGCTGGATACTGAACCCTGGTATAAGCTTACAGGCACTTCTTACAAGGCGAGAATGTTACAATGTAACAACAGCTGAATGTCAATGAACCATCAGCACTGAGGCCTAGAGTCATGATTTTGACCTGATGCATATATCAAGTTTGTTAAAATGAATTACCTTGACCAACATTCAACATCACTTGGGTCAAATGGGTTAAAATCTCCAAACTTTATTTTTTAAGTTGAACCATGAAGCCTAGAAAAATGATACATGTAGTTGGTTGATAGATTGCTGAGATGAATGACTGTCAGGTTTATTCAAATTAATGACAGATTCTAAGTTTGCATTCTGTCCATCAGTCAGTCTGTCAATCCATGAGTTACTTTGTCCATGGCATTTCTTGTTTATTGTCACCTTCAGTTGCCAAATGTGTATGCATGTAATTCTTAAGATGATAGAGTTTTATTAAATGAACTTGGGCCTTTTGCTCAAATGTGTCACATTTACTGTGTCCCACTTTAATTCGTCTTGAGTACGTCTCATATACTTGGTGAATTGCAATTGCCAAATTTTGAATGTGGGTACTTCTTGAATTGGCAGGCTGACACATTTATGAAATACAAGGTCTTGCTCCCTACTTTGTAAGGAGTTATGACCCTTTGTTAATGTTTTACATCAAAATTTGTCCTGTGATGAAGGACTATGGATTGGTTGTAATACATTGCCTTGTTTGTATAAATACATGTTGGCACTGCTGATATCTGGATATATCATATTTTAGGAAAGCAAATTGCATGATGACCTAAAATGTGTTATGTCACCTTTTTTTCAAAAGATATTCATGTATTCAGTTCAATTTCCAATTGAGGTAGTAGTGTAGGTAATTTTGCACTGACATTGATTTGATTCAGCTCTCTGAATATTACCTGGTAAACGTAAGCTTAAAATATATGCTGTTGAAAAAGAACGACATTTAAAGAAATAAATAAAAAAATAATTAAAATTCATATTAATGTCATGGATTAAAGCACTCTCTAAAGCGCTTTAGAGTGGCTTATGTTAACTGGATAGGGCGCTATATCAAATGTTGTATATTTATTTTATTTATTTATGGATTCCACTACTGTCAACTTTCCTCAAAATACATTTATATATATTATAATCCTATAAAAATGTTTTGTTTGTAAGCTGATAAATAATTAAGGGTGATGTCTATTTATTTGAAAAGATCAAACTAAGGAAATTGCATTGATACCAGTCCCTTTGTTTTTAATTAAGTATGTGCGATGGTACCACTTGTTTGGTTTGCTCTGGACATCAGCATTTGTGATAGCCTGCCAGGACATTGTGATTGCAGGGGCTGTTTCTATTTGGTTCTTCACTCGGTAGGTTAAACCTTTATAGAAAAAGTTCAGAAGATTTGTCGTGAAAAATACTAAACATTCATTCATATGTGTTAGTTTGTCATCATCTTTTATTTCTAAGAGTTACTCCGATACATGCACTGTGCCACCTGAAGTGAGCACTCAGTAAATGTTGCTTATTGAAGAGTTGATAGCATACTAGAACCAAATTTACTCCTATGAGTTGGTGAGATTTGGAATATTTGTACATTAAACACAAGAAAATCTGTTTATCTGATAATTGACTTTTCTGTAATGCTTGTCAAATTTTTAATGGGACAAGTTATGGTATGGCCTCCATCAGTCTGTTAACTTTGTTTCCACACAATGACTTAACTATTTAATCAAATTGTAATCAGTTTTTATTTCAAACATAAAAAAAGACATTGGCAATGTTTGAAGTAGAGAAAATTGTATACAGAATTAATAAGTATTCTGCACTGATTTGTGGATGACAGAGTATTGTAAGGTCTACATACTTGTGTTTTGTATGTCATATGAATGTCAATGTCATACACTAGCAGGTAAAAAATACACAATAGTTGAAAGCAGCAGGTGTATACATGTACTATCATAGTACTCTTGTTATTATAAATCTCTCCAGATGAAGCTTTATGCTCTGGAAAACAAAATCTCAGAAAGGTTTACCAGAATCAACCTCTATGTTTAACCCCCAATCGGTTTCTAGACCATGACTTGTGTTTTATATCCTGCTGCATTCATCAAACTTTACAGGATGACCTATGGGTCGAGTAGGAAGCCTATCAAATCTTAGGTCAAAGGTCCAGGTCTCGTGGTCAAATGTTCTGCATTATCTTTTTTTCTGGAACTTTAAAGTCTCTGGGTTGAGAGAAATCCTAATGTTTGTGAGCAAAAGGACAGAGGTCATGAAAACCATTTAAAGGTGGTTGTGGTAACTGTCAGTTGCATCTTTTTACTTAGAACTTTGTAATTTCACAGGATGACTTCTCGTTGGTTTTTGAGGAATCCTTGAAAGTAGGTCAAGGCCATATTATTGGGTTCCTTCTCACATGTTTACAGGCATTAACACATGGATTGCATGGTACTTGCCAGGCAGAGACATACATTTCTAGTTTTCATCGTACATGCAGTTATATATTTTTCTTTTAAGAATGACAGTAACATGTTTCTTATAATGTTTATTTAACTTGCAGTACAATTTTTATTTTGTTTTATTTTCAGAAACAAAAACAAGCTCGGTATGCCAATATGTATGTCAACAAAACGTCTCATAAGGTAAGCTCTCCCCATATACTGCTGTATCTTATGTCACCTGTAATACATAAAATATTCAATGCTGACGTGTCTTTCATGCATTCAGAGATATTTCATCAATAACAGTAATCATATTCTTCTTTCACATCCACAGATACCACCTGGGATCTGTTGCATTTGGATCATTTATAATTGCCCTAGTGAGATTACTTCGAGTCATTCTGGGATTTATACAACGAAAGTAAGATTATTGAATTAATGTTGATGTTTCTAGTTGTTATAATATAATATTGTCTGGGCCGTAATGTATACACCGTAAAAGATGTAATTGATGGAACTTAAGTATACCTCCATCAACCCAACAAAGTGTGCAGTGTGCAGGAATTGGATCATTGTGACTTTGACTTCGAGGTGAAAATTCAATAGAAATCTTTTTCTTGGCCTCATTTAAACCTGTAAAAGATATTTTGAAGAAACCTGAAGAATACCTGCATCAGCCAAACAAGATGTACATTAGATCGGGTTACAATGATCTTTACCTCTAGGTCAAATAGATGTAATATTTCTGGTGAAGTCTTGTCTTGAATGTACATTTTAAAAGTTGAAATCCATTTTGATGAAACTTGAATAATATCAGCATCATCCACAAAAGGAGTGCATTGCACTATTTTTAGGTCACTGTGACATTCACCTCTAGGTCAAATATATACATACATGTACAAGGCAATTGTAAAGCATAAGGGAATACACATTTTTGTTGACTGAGCATGAAATGACCCAAATATATATTTACATAACAAATAGTAATTTTGAACAAGAGGCCCAATGGGCCTGCATCGCTCACCTGGTATAAATCTCACACTTGTAACCTTAAAAGTGATCTAAAATAAAGCTACAGGAAAAATATCAGTATTTATGATTAAAACTCATTCAAAAGAGCCTGTTAATTTTTTAAAAAACATTTCACCCCTGTGATTGAAAGTCGAGCAAAGTCATTATGTTGAACACATTGTAAAGCCTTTCATCTCAGGATGCAACTTGCAAAGGACCAACATCCTGGGACCTACGGTTATTCAGAAGAGGTCCTTTAAAGATTTTAAACAAATTTGACCCCTTTGACCTTGAATATAAGTCAAAGTCATTCACTTTAACAAACATAGTAGTCCTTGATCCCAGCATATGCTACTGACTTAATATCAACATCCTGAGCCTTTTGGTTATTCAGAAGAAATTGTTTAAAGTTTTTAACTTCGTGCCAGGTGAGCTAAAAATGGCTGTATGATATCAAGTTTTCATACTGTTACATATTTTCTGATATTTGACATATACCGATAGCCTATAGGTTAAATTTATTCTCCTACATTCATAGCTTTTGAATATTACATTTTTATAACATTTGTTTCAAGATATTGAACATTATGGTGCTTGATGGTGCTTTTCTTCAGGCTGAAAGGCAAAGTAGGAAAAGTGGCAGAATTCTTAATGAAAATGTTGCAATGCTGTCTCTGGTGCTTTGAGAAGTGCATTGCCTTCCTCAACAGAAATGCATACATTGAAATAGGTAAAGTTTAAATATTAAAGGTTTGCTATGAGTTATCAAATAAAACAAATAGAGATGTAATAAAAAAATCACTTTTGAAAGTTCTAAAATGCTGCAATATTTGCATTAGTGTTGTATAGCTCACCTGGTCCAGAGGACTGGTTAGCTTATACTGTGGCATATAGTAAAAAAGTTTTAAGTTAAATTAGTTTTTTACCATTGGTTGTAAGTTATATGTACATCAGATTGATTTTACATGTAGAGTACTCTCGTTTCCACAGCTATCTATGGGTACAGTTTTTGTACATCTGCACGGAAAGCCATCATGGTACTCCTAGCAAACGCCTTGCGTGTGGCAGCCATCAACTCCATTGGCGACTTTGTTCTCTTCCTTGGAAAGATTTGTTGTGTGTGTATCGTAGCTGTTGCTGGAAATGAGTTCCTTAAGGTAAAGCAGATCCTATAATACAGCCAATAAATAAAAATCTACTCAAGTAGTTATCTCTACAGTACCGACTTCCTATTTCATAAAAGACATAGCTGTACATAACCAAATTTCTATTTTTAGCTCTCTGGTTAAAACAAATATTAGTCCCCTCGGGAACAGATTTCCGTCCATATGAAGAGTTTGTCTGGGGCATATCCTTTATACTGTTTCACCTAAAGTAACCATTTTTTTATGCAAATTCATCTAGGGATGGCATTGTGCAGAGTACAAAGATTAGGTCACTGTGACCAATGGTTTGACCTTTGACCTCAACCTTTGAAAAAGTTTGTTGGGGCAGATCTTCTATACTAACTCACCTGGAGTAACCAGATTGGGTATGCAAGTACATCTTGGGATGACAGAGTACAGAAGTAGGTCACTTTGACCTAGGGGTTGACTTTTGACCCCAACCTTTAAAAACAAATTCCATGGGCATAACTTCTATACCATTTTACTTGAAGTAACCAGATATGGAATGCAAGTGTGTTATGGGATGGCAGAGGACAAGAGGTTGGCACTTTGGCCTTAGATGTGCCTTTTGACCTCAACCATTGAAAAGTTTGTCCCAGGCATTTCTTCTTTACTGTTTCACCTGAAATAGCCAGATTTGGTATGCAGGCACATCTTGGGATGCTTGAGTGCAAAGTATGAGAATTAGGTCACTGTTGACTACACTTTGAATTTTGATCTTACCCTTTGAAAATTGTGTCCAGGGCACATATCTCCTATGCTGTTGCACCAGGATTAACCAAATTCAGTATGCAGGTATGTCTTATGATGGTGGAGTGCATTTTACAAAATTAGGTCACTGATATGATTATATGCTTTGACCGCTGACCTCAGACATTGAAAAAGTTTGTTTAAAGTTTATCTTCTATACATTTTCTTCTGGTGTACCCAAATTTGACTTCCTGAGATGTATGTCATTAACTGTACCAAAAGCGAGTCATTGTGGTCGTTATTTTGATCTCTGATCACAATCATTGGAATTTTGTCTTATTTTGTAGCAGGTTTCAGCGTACTGGTGAGGGACTATAGATTGCCATGCAATAATTATTCTCGTTGGTTTTATCATATTAAAACACTGCATAGCACCTCTATTGTACATAGGTTTATTTATGCAAATTTCACGACCTGAGTAAGTGTGTGAAATAGAAACCATGTCAATGTATTTTTCCTCTGATCTGTTGATTAGTTATGGGGGTTATCTCTCAGGTTTCTCTTTTAACATCAATAACCCCCCCCCCCAAAAATAATATTTTATGTATTTCCATCATACAAACAACCTCACATCTGATATATGACCGGCACATGTTTCATTTGATGGGAACTTTTTTTTTATGCAGCACTCATGGTTAACTTACTAAATTTGATTCATTCTTTATTATCAGAATCGAGAAGATATCAACTATATCTGGGCTCCTTTATCGGTAGCTTGTGCATTTGCCTTTGCAATATCTCATTGCTTTCTCTTGGTTTATGAGGTAAGTCCTTGTTCACATCATTTTGTTCTAATAATTCATATGTAATAAATTAATGGCTCTCATTTTTCATAGAAAATTGTATGGAAAAATGCCTTTCATGATATGATAGATGAATATGATATGTTATAGAAACTTCTGAAGTACTATATGTTGTATTCTGGAAACAGAAAACAGATGCGTTTTCATGCAAATCATCACAATTTTTAGATTTCAGTTATAAGTGCCTAACACTAATGTTGCAGTTGGTTAAGGATCTTTGTACCATTTTGAATTTTTTTCAGGCATGATTATGACTTATACCATGCAGAAAAAAAATGATCAAAAGGAAATAAAGGAAAAAGAATCCACCCTAGTGTTATAATTGTGTAAATGTATGAGGCCAGATCAAGATTCGGACCCCTGACCTTCCATACTAAGACTGTCGTCCTAGTTAACTGTGCTACCTTGTCAACGTTAGTACTTTGATCAAGTCACACTACAGTTATATCAAAAGTGAAATTAAGTTACTATTAATAGTATGTATACAAAACCACAGGGGTATTCTTAAGTGTTTTGACTTCAGTTGGACAGGGTTTCTTAAAATGAAAAAGATTTAGGAATCATCAAAATTACATTTGTAAGTGATAATATTTATTAAAACTTTATTTAAATGCTACTGCTAGACCATCTCTTTACTGTTGTCATAGACATTCTGAACATGTCTTGATTCAGAATATACTCTGGAGGTGTAGAGTGAACATCCTACCTAGGTTTGAAACATGATTATCCACACAGTGTGCAGGTGATCCGGCCTATAATTTTCTTGACATAGTGATTCATATTATTAGCTCCCTATACCTCGGGAAATTTGAGGGTCCCCTTTAGTATTCTCACCTTTTCCTCCACAAATTCTTTCCAGATGAAACACACGTTCTGATAGCCGGATTGCTGTCAAATTTCAGGTGTGTTGATTGTCATTGAAGCAGTTGATGATATGCATTTGGAGTTGGCTCAGGCTGACTTAGATGTTGACTGGATGGATGGTGCACATATTTCACAAACTATTACATTATGATCGACTTATAGGTTGCCTGCAATAGCCCACTTGTTATTTGCTGAATAGCTGTATGAACTTTGAAGCCTTTGCAAGTATCTCTTGGTATGACCGAACATAGCATACAGATATTGACCCTTTATTAGTACCTTTTGGGATGATTGAACATCACATACCAAAATCAGGTCTTGGGTCATAATTAATTTTAAGAGTTATGGTCTATTTCTAACCATTAATCACATTGTCTGGATGTATCTTGTATACATTCAACTACATTTGCCAAATTTTGCATGTGATTTCCGAGTTGTATCCTGGGATGGAGTGTCAAATATTGAATTGCCTCCCTTAAACAGATTTATTACCCTTATTCACCATAAAACAATTATGCCAGCTACTGTTATCAAAATCTGCATGCAGTTGGCAGTATCTCACTAGATGGTTAAGTGTCACACACAAAAATCCGGTCTTGTGCTCTAGTATTTACAGAGTTATGCCCCTTTTAATATTTTTGATACCAAAAGTCAGAGACTATGGATTGCTCACCATATTTTTTCCTTATCAGATGACCATCGACACCATCTTCCTGTGTTTCTGTGAAGATTGTGACATGAACGATGGGGTGACCAAACCGTTTTACATGAGCAAGGATCTTATGGTGAGTTATTTAATGGGGAGTATTAGATCTTACAAATAACTAATCATGAAAAGGTTGTCATGAACAGAAAAAAATTATCTGTAATAATACAGAATCAAACAAATTCAAATCTTTTTCATTTGAATTCTACGATATTACATTCTTTTCAAAAATAACAGAATGGAATTGCAAATAGTCATTCAAAATTTGTTTTGGTGTCATTTGATCATAACTTCCAACAAAAGAATAATGTAATTTCTCATAATTTGACATTAACCTAGACGTATCCATTTTATAGAGTTCAGTCTCAATCTTCCTTCATATTACTTAATGTTTCAACTGCAGGTATATCTGGATAAAAACAAACAGGAAGCTGCCAAAAAAGGCAAGAAAAAGAAAACTACAGAAAAAACAGCAGTCTAGGTGGACTTCTTGTGTAAAATCTGATTCCTTGATCATACATTGTAAATATGGACATATTGTAAATATGTGTAAATATTTGTTTTGTTCAAGTTTAAAAAGGAAAAAAAGGGCTGTTCTAAAAAATTGTTAATTGGTTTTTATTTGAATATAGATGAAACTTATTCAAGATCATTAGGGTCTGCATTGACATGGATCAACTGTAAAGTACATTAAACATACTTCAAATTTATGCTTGCAATTGAATCATTACGATCAATAACATACAATATGTATGTATGATCAGATGTTATTTCATACTGATCAGGATAATTAACAGTATGGAATAAAAACAAACATTTGTAAGAGCTGTTAATCTAGAAATAATTTATGGTGGGACAGGGAGACATTTTTTGTGATCAATGTATTTTTGAAAAAAAAACATTTTATCAGTTCTATCCCACCCAAATATTACTAGATATCAAACCTACAAATGTTGATCATGTATTTGTATTTAACAGTTTTATTCATTGCTTATCACAGGTGGGAAAAATAACATCAGAAATGTGATATCAAAAGATCTTTTAATGAGATAAATAAGCTAAATGTATTTTACAATGCATAGCATATTGCCATTGATTAATACACACAATCTCCCTCTATTTATATACACTTTCCACACAATCCCTGTTAACATCATCCAGTTTTATCCTGTCTTTCATCCATTAAAAACTCGCTCTTCATCTTCAGTGTCCAAAGAACCTGAAATTACAAATTTACCGCATAAGAGACACAAATCAGACAATGCAAGGAATTCCCATTTCTTTTTGTGCCCTCAATATTTCATGTCATGAGGGAAAGAGGGGGCATTAAGTGTTATCCATGTCTGTTCTGACCCGCCCTTCTTCAGTGTTGTCACTTCAGCAAATTAATTCTCTTAAAAAACTCCATTATACCTTATACAATCGTAAAATATGGACATGATATTATTGTGTTTGCATTGCAAGTTTTCAAGACCCAAGTTACAGTCAATATTACTATATAAAGCAAAATATTGAACAATAACACAAATATGCATGGGAGCCTAGACATTTTGTAATTCTGTGATGTAACAAGAAATTTCAATGGCCAACCAAAAAAATAGTGAATATAAAAATATACTGTCAGATCTTATAGAAAGTTACATTACACTGGCGAAATTTGGTGATGTATAGATATTGTTGATGTCAGGAAATATTGATGAGGTCCATATTTTGAGATTAACAAATACATGTGTATCTTGGTTTAAATGCTACAAATTAATTTCAGACTGACTGTGTTTCACCAGTAAACCAAATTTGTGCCAGTAAGACTGACATCTTCAAGCCTCAAAACACACACGGATTATCGGCTAAATATATAAGCCGGACCCTGAAGCTGTTTTTCCCCCCTGATCTTTAATAACCAATTTACCCAATGTTGAATACCCCCTACCACATGAGATTTTTGCTTTTAAAAATATCATCAGAGCCTGTAAGATCTTTCTGTGTTAATTCATTTGCAGTTCATCAGGTCACATGATTTAATGTGGTAAAAGATACTTACACCAGCATACAGAACATGACAAACAGGTTCCACAGTCCTATGAAGATTCTGAAGTATCGCAGACTCAGTAGGAACTCTCGTACTTTGTCCCCTGTCACAAAAGAACAAGATAACTCACGAAAATAACAAAAACCATAGACAAGAATGTAGTCACACGATATAATTATAATGTTGACAACTGGACCACTTTACAGCATTATTTGCCGTAAAGTGTCATCCCGGTCTTAGCCAATAGTAATAAGATCGTTATTTTATAAAGAAAGTATAGAACCGTTACATGTAGTACATTATACAAGCTACTAAGCTAGTGAGGTGCGGCATTAGTGTTTGCAGAAGTGATGTTGACTGCATGACCCATTCTTTACTTTTAACACATTTCTAAGTCTGCAGGGTAGGTATTGCCACATTGACATACCATAGCATTAATACTGACCCTATTAGGTCAGATTCTTTCTAGAGGGTGCTCATTCAATACTGAACTACAACACAATGTGGTAGACTAGGATTTAAACATCATTTTATGACCTTGAATTAACCTTTTAACTTCAACCTTATACCTCGCATACATGTTCTTTTAAATGTTGCCCTTGTAAACACTTGAAACACGCCTGAGGATACTCATTCATTACTAGGTGAAAAATAGATTCTGAAATGTGACTTTGCCTCTGACCTCCAAAGTAAACAGGTTTCTTTATATCCAGGGCCGCTTTCATTTCAAAAAGTCATATGTAAACATTGAAACGGTATTTGGCTTTAAGTCTCTAAAAAATGTTTCCAAATTATTGACAAAATAAGATTTATTAATTTAAGTTATAACCAGAAAAAGAAATTAGGCTTGAGCTCAAAATCAATGAATGAGCATGAGAACGGTTTCATGAATACGGACCCTGAACTTTTATCTCTGCAGTCTTCATACATCATAAGTTCTTTATGAACAACTTCAACATTTAAATTTGTTTATAGTTCATTCATTGCAAAAAAGTTGGGGAAAAAATGTGCAATCCTATGAAGGACAGAGACATATACACTAGCATCTGTATGTGTATAATACATACAACACAAGGAACCACCGACTCACCTACAGTTGGCTCTAAATTAGCTCCAAACGCATCCTCTTTCCCCTTTTTCCTACAAAAAAGACAGTCTCAAATTGACAAAGTGGATTGGCAAGATGCCTAAATCTTTGAAAATCTTTCTGAGTGTTCGTGTTAAGCTAAACTACTTGTAAAGTTTAAGCATCCATTATGCTACTACATCTTTGATAAGTTTCTGTAATGAAAGAGGACAAAATCAAGACACCTATCTTCAAACAACCACATGCCATAGTTTAGGATTTTATCCAACCAAATGTAAGGAAGTTTAGTTTCATCAACCCCTTGATAAATGGGACAATTGTAGTAGAAAGGTTATTTAACAATGGTGCCCACTTGTGAAGGAATCGACATTAGGGAACAGTATGATGCCATCTTAATGAAATGTCATATCATTCACACAGAATATGGCTTTTAATCAAGTCTATTATTGTGACAAGTGGCTTAGTTTGTTACCACATAAGTGAAAACAAGACATATCATGGGAAAATTTCTGCAGTTTTTTCGTTATCGTATTTAATTTTATAAATAATTTAAAGAACATAATTATGTAAATTATTGACATTCATCCCATTTATTGACTCGATGAGTACAGCTAAAATACTTACAACTTAAAATTCAAAACTGCACAGGCATTGACCATCAAGGTCCTGTAAATTAGAAAACAAAAGATTTCGGTATGGCATATTTTGATATTCTTTTTAAATAATACCTGCATGCCTACGTTTAAATTGCTTTAGGTCATATTGGGATCCAAAATGTGTTGGATGTCATAATATCTCATCGACTAAAATTTCTTTATGAATCTTCGCAACATGCTTTAATTACTCATCTCAACTGTATCATGACTAGATAAATCAGACATGTACACAAAAAACTACACATGTATGTGTACACTAATTACTCGATGATTAATGTTATTCAACAATCCATGCTCTTGTCAGAATGGATTCAAACCGTATTGAGTTGACAGCAGAGGAATTTTTAAGTCCTATCGTCAGAATAAAATCTGTACATCTGTGTATCTGTATGTACCATGAAACATTGGTGTGTTACTTACCACTCTTGACTATAGGCCCAATATTTAGGAAAGGGGATGAATGTTAACTTTTTTTCTAGTCTTAACTAGCAATCACTTTCAGACTGCTGAAGTCTTTGATAAAACCGTGTAAATGACAAAATAACCCCTGCATGTTTGTGGAAAGAATGAGCCTGTTTTATCCCACTACATGTCTTAAAAGGCAACAGATGTCTGGTCCACTTGAGAATTGGTTGTTTTTCGTTCATATCTTCTGCTAAGGGGACATCAAAGAAACCAGAATTGGCCTGCTCCCTCCAATGCAACATTTGGGATCTATATCTTTTCTTTTTTCACTTCCTTACTTTTTTTTACAAACAAATAGACTTGACAGAATGTGTATGGTGGGGCCATGATATTGCTTTGCAATTCTTTGGTATACTTCATATATTTGTGTGGCAGGAGAGGAAAATGCATGGCCAGATTAGACCAGGATTCGAACCCAAGACCTCCCGAGCTCTGACAGACACTCTAAGCAATTGAGCTTCCTGGTTGTCTGCAATTAACCAAGTCCAGTTCTACTATAAATGGGCTTCCATTAGCGTAAAGGACCAGAACAGTGTCAATCACTGTGTCCAAGTAGAGCAGTTGTTTAGATTGTCTGTCCAGAATTACAGACAATCTAAACAACTGCTCTAATTGGTCACAGTGACTGACACTGTTCTGATCCTTTACGCTAATGGAAGCCAATATAGTTTAGATTGTCTGTCCAGAATTAACCACCTGCAGAATTGGGGATTTGCTTTGGTGTCCTCTATTTGGGGACACAAAAGTGAACAAAATAAATCTGCTGCGCCCATTGCAATGTTTGGGATCTTTATCTTTCTTTCTACTTCTAACTCCCTTTTATTTCCAAGCGACTTTCTTGGCAACACCCCACTTTTGTCTTGATGGTTGAGCTTTCGTCCAGGTGAAGAAGGCAATGGGTTCTGTCCCCAGGCTGGGACATACCAAAGTCCTTAAAAATGGTAGTTGTTATTCCCTGCCTAACATTCAGCATTTAGGGGAATGGCAACAACTGGTTCACCCATTGTCAGTATGTGACTAGGTGGAATGCTGTGCTGGGTGCCTTTGGCTTGGTGTTTCAGTGAGATAGCACTATAAAGTCGGGATCAGTTCTGCACTATCGCAAGGAGGCAAGCACAACAACATACCCTGTCTCCTGCATACACACACGCAAGCACGCATACACTCCTAGTCCGAATTATTCTGACGTTTTATCGACTTTTTTCATATCGGTCTGTCGTCGATTAACGACGACAGACCGATATGAAAAAAGTTGATAAACGCCAGAATAATTCGGACTAACACTTCTCACATGGAGACACTGTTTGGGTCCTGGTCTGCACATTTTCTCTTGTCATGTTACAAATTGGTGTATGTAACGAACTTTTATTCAAGTACATCGTGCTGTGTTGCTTGACAAGACTTAGAGGATACTCAAACATAGGGTTGTACAAGGTACAACGTTTTTGATTATCCAATCAATTAAATTAATAAATATTACACACTTTTAGTAACGATGTATATGCGAGTGAAGATACGCATATGTTTTAAATTAAATGTTCTTCTACTTAATTAGTTCGAAATGACTGAATATCTCTTCTTTTTTTTAAATGTTGATTTCGGTCCCAACCCTTTTTACTTGACAGGAGAAGATCACGTTCATGTGAAACATAATGAAATGTATAAGGGTACAGCAACCAATCACCTACCCAAACAAAATCAAATCAGAAATCATTGCTGTATTTTTTTCTTGGCTTCTTAGTGAGAGTCTACATCACGTGAAATCTACATGCAAATCTGAAATCGAGACGTGTCTTGAAAATTAACAGGAAGTTGACATGTTGGCAGCGATCAGTATCACCTGGACGCTTCGCGTAAGGCGCATTCGTATACGGCCACACACTGACAATATGCTTTCATTCTAATTCGTTTTCTTTTTTAAATCACAACATCGGTTGTTAAAAAGACGGTATTTTCCGTTCCGGATAAATAAGTTACCGTTTAACGAGCTATTAACATCATCACACTAACGTTAGATTGATTGCTGCGCTCACCTGAATGACTAAAATTTATCAGATAATGTTGAAGTTTTCTTCAAAGGAAGAAAAATATTTTAGATGCTGTCGGATATTTTAATAAGCTGTATTATATGATGAGGTGTTCCATTTTGGGTACATGACAAGCTTAATTTTCATCTAAACCTGCTTCAACTAAATGAGCTCTATCACTAGATAGACGAGCGCGCTGGTGATATCCAAGAAATACTAATAAAATATGAGCCATTTAGGCTCCTCCTTGTAGTAAAAGTTCATGAAACTAACTAGGGAGTATTAATAATTTTCTTTAAAAACTATTCTATGTCAATATAAGAAACTGTGACCAGACTAGTAATCAGATGGAAGGACAACAGATATATCGTAGACAAATAAGCAACATAAAACAGCATTTGATATGAGTAGTTCATTACGCGGGACAGTATAAATTTCCGATACGTTAAAGATTCTAAATCTACTACACTTGAGATAACTGTTATGCATAGCATTGATTTTGGACTTATTATCAATAATTACCGTTAAGAGGCTCGTGATTGGTGATATGACTGTCGTCATATCATTAGTTATGACAGGTTCCATGTATGCACAATTATAGTCCTGAATAATACTGACTATCTCTTTTTTAATCCTTTCTCAAGTGAGAAATAAATAAAATCGGACTGGTACAATTAATGTATCACGTACACATAATACTATATATTTTAAGTATGTATTGTCCTTGTGGTAGGGAAACACGAGGTTTTGTTTCTCCCGAGATTTGTTTCACGAGAGCGAAGCCCGAGTGGAATATGGTTATTTCCCTACCACAAGGACAATAAATATTTATTATGCCGAAATAAAACAAGAACACGATAGTAAATAGTATTAGGTTGATGCGCTGTTGCTATCGTCTGCTTCAGTCACTCCGAACTCAGGTGTGGTGTCTTTTGTCAATTTCACCGAGAACACTCTAGCGCGTGAGGCCGACATGATGTATTATTGCCCCTTTTCAAACCGTACAATCATTATAAAAATAACTCTTCCGAAAAAAACATTAAAGTCTTCTTGGTCTCTGTGGAGTATAACAAATAGATAGATAGATAGATAGTCGTTAGATAGATAGAATCGGTACAAATTAAATAGTATATGAGACCATTTTCGATGTCCGCGCAACTGCTTATTTGCATACACAGTAATTACGCGCCTGTCTGTGTCAATAGGGGAGATATTGACAGTATTGTCCTTCGCGAGTGATTTTACGTTCACGGTGTTTTGGTCTAAGAATCGATGTAAAAAGACGTTAAAAGGATCAATTTGCAATTTACATTACTGTTCACGAAAAGATCCGGCGACAGTCTTTCATTCTATGATCAAGAGGTAGACATAGATATCTGCTATTTGTTTATGCTGTCTAGAATCTGGATAGGACGTAGATGGTACCCTTTTCTTTACCAGAGATGTGTGTAGCTGTGGTTTCAAGAAGAACACAATATGACATTTAATTGCGTCAAACGTGTGTGTGTCCGTCAAGGTTTTCTCAAAGACGGTTTTTGAACCACTGAACAGAACGTGGCCGAATTTGACTGGAAAATTACGTAAGACAAGTGGTGGGTGAATCAGGTTGCTTTTACGAACTTCTCTTATTTGGCTGCCAGCATATTCACGCGATAGGGATTAATCATTTTGAATTTTACAAATGGAGAGACGGGGCCTTAGAGGGGTAGTTTGGCCATGTTGCTTAAAATGAAAGCGACATCTCATATGAAACTCCGAGCCATATTTGTTTAGAAACATGTGCATGTGCAAAGAAATGGCTGTGGATTGGGGCCAAAAAAGGGGTTATAACTTGTAAATGATATTATTCCAAGATTGTGTCACACTATCAGTCAGAATGTTTCAAGTTTGGTGTTGGAGTCGGAGGAAACTTGGGTATGATGCAATTGTCCATTCTATCTAAATAAAGTAAGTAATCTAAAGTTGCCCATGAAGTCGAGATTTGTTCAGCTCCAGTTGTCCACGAGGGTCTGGAGGGTGATGATCATCTTCAATTGTCCATCGAACTGGAGCCTCGGTCAGCTTCAGTTCTCCGTGGGGTCTTTAGAGTTTCATTTGCCCATGCTATGATTAACGTTAGTCAAATCCAGATTGTCATAGTCGCACAGTGTTGTCAAGTCTAGTTGGATAATTGTCAACCTCCAGGTTGATGGACAACTGACCAATGCCCAAGACACCACTGACAACCACATGACAATCGGACCTATGCCCCCAACCCTATAGACAATCGGACCCGACCTATGCCCCAAATCCCATAGACAATCGAACCTGACCTATGCCCCCAATCCCATAGACAATCAGACCAGACCAATGTCCCCAACCCTAAAAAACAACCTGACCTGGCCAATGCCCCTAAATCCAATTGACAATCGGACCTGACCTTTGCCCCCAACCCCATAGACAATTGGACCCGACATATGCCCCCAACCCCATAGACCATCGGACCTGACCTATGCCTCACCCATAGACAATCGGACCTGATCTATGCGCCCCAACCCCATAGACAATTGGACCTGACCTATGTCCCCAACCCCATAGACAATTAGACCTGACCTATGTCCCCAACCCCATAGACAAATGGACCTGACCTATGCCCCCAACCCCATAGACAATTGGACCTGACGTATGTCCCCAACCCCATTGACAATCGGCCCTGACCTATGCCCCCAACCACATGACAATCGGACCTGACCAATGCCCCCACCCCCAAAACGATCAGACCTGACCAACGCCCCAAACCCCATTGACAATCGGACCTGACCAATGCCCCCAACCCCATAGAAAATCGGACCTGACATATGCACCCAGCCCCATAGACAATCGGACCTGACCAATGCCCCAAACCCCATTGACAATCGGACCTGACCTATGCCCCCAACCCCATAGACAATCAGACCTGACCAATGCCCCAACCCCCAAAACGATCAGACCTGACCAATGCCCCAAACCCCATTGACAATCGGACACCTATGCCCCAAACCCCAATGACAATTGGAGCTGACCAATGCCCCAAACTCTATAGACAAGCGGACCTGACCAATGCCCCAAACCCAAATGACAATCGGACCTGAACCATGCCCCAAACGACAATCGGAGTTGACCAATGCCCCAAACTCTATAGTCAACCGGACCTGACCTATGCCCCAAACTCCAGACAATCTGAGCCGATATTTGCCATAGACCACATGGATATGACCAAAACAGACGAGAATCCTCTAGTTATATGACAGCAACCAAGATTTTTATGTCTGATATTTGAAACCTTTTGTTTCAGTGTAGAGCTTTTCCATTTGAATTTCAGTTTATAATTCATATTTTCCCTAGAATGTACAAGACATGAACATTTTACATTAGGAAATTGTTTTAGAATGTACTTTGGATCTAATTCATCGTGATTCCACTCCAGCCCTCAGAATTTGGGGGGAATGAATAGTTCTTTATACTAGATTATCTGGTGGGGGAAACAGTCCAAACAAACATTATTGAGATAAACAAGAAATCAATTCAAAATGCTTTGCAATCACATTTATTGAAATGTTTGGTAATATTTAAATAATGTACTGAATTACTGTAAAATTGTATTATTGAATTATAGATACAAATAAATAAATTTCATAGCAGCCAAACATGCTTTGTGGCACAAACAATGGTAACTGGACATAAAGATTGCAGGATACAATAGAGAAACATCTCATTAGGCACAATGCTTGGCGATATATATTCTTCAATACGGAGAAAATCCATTGTATTAAAAACAATGAGAACAATAACATAGCCTGATTTTAACATTTTGTTATTTTCCATATGGAGTTGTGTTAACTTTTATTATTACTATAGGGCATACAGAAAGCATGACTGTCTGTATGGAATATACTTTTCTCACATACTTCATGGGTTCATTTCTGTTTCAGGACGAAATCATATGATATACCTGTTTTTTCATAACATTTGCATAAAATACTGATTTTTCAATTTAGTGCATTGTCTTCAGTTGTCCGTCTTTCTTGGAAGACAACGTGCATCATTACTTCATTGGTTCAAGAACTTTGCTTTTGAACTATTATCACTCATTCATATTATCGCGATAAAAAGATGTTGGCCAGATCAACTGCCTGTATCTAGTTCATTTGTATATCCTGCTGCTATCCCCTTCTGGCCCTCCAAAGCTTTTGTCACTTCTGTTTCTCCCAGCTGCTGTTCTAAGCCTCTCCAAGACCTTGATGCTAGATACTCTCCTGAAAACAAATAACATATTTCATAATCCTTGAGAAGTAACATTCTAAAATATCAATAGTACTGTATAGCGCTTTAAATTTGTGGGGTCAATATTTCGCGATTTTATATTCACTACATATTCGCGGAAGTTAAATTTCGCTGTGCACTCGAATCCTATGTGTCCTGCAAAGTATTTTGAGTGTCATCATTTGAGGGTTAAACCTCGAAATACAGGTAAAACATTTGAAAACATTGATCCCGAGCGTCGTCATCCGCCAGTGACTTCACTCGAAAGAAATAAAATGTATTTGTACCTTTGTAGGAGTAAACTGTAATCAATTAATCACCTACTGTGTACACATAAATATGTTGTGACCACCTTATATGTCAGTGTTGTTTTTACATGGACTGTCCAGTTATCTGGTGATAATCTGATTTGAGTTCATTTAAGCTTTCATAACAGCGTTGGGTTATAAGTATTTTCAACATGTTGTGATAAGGTCCGTAAAAGTGGTAAACATTTTCAATAATTTTGCTGGTGTTTAGAATTTACGGATATTAGTCAAAGCATGAATATAGCGAAATTAAAACCCCCACGAAATATAACCGCTTTACAGTAATGAGGAGTTATGAGAAAACCTGCGACAATATCCCTCGGCTGAATTAACTATGAGAATATTCTTATACAAAACAAATAATTCAAGAGGAACAGACTTTAATACCAAGGTCTTACCTGCAGTGTCTGCTGGTACTTCTGACACAGCCATATTTTGGTTTCTAGGCAACATCGCCGTGGAGGTGACATCTATGTCCTCTGTCACGCCAATGGTTCGCAGCTTGCCAGTTACCAAGGAAACATCTGTTTGTACCGCCAGTGTAACGGGTATAGCAACATGGTCTTCACCTCCTAAATAAAGGTTAAAAATTGAAGTAAAAGTGTATGCTTTCAAATTACTTCAAAACACTTATTATTCATGTCTAGATTTTCAGAACAAATATATTTTCTTTTCTTTAAAGGAGAGATTTTGATATAAACACAGTCATACATGAATATGATTCAATACATATAAACATAATGCAGGTTTTTGTTTTAGTTATGATTGCTTTTATCATAATCATTGTCTTTTCTTTTAATTCAATATTATGGGGGTAATATTAATATGGGGTATATAAATATTAAAATATGTTACTGGGAAAGGGCTTTAGATAAATTGGACAACTTTTGCCCAATCCCTTTTGGTATAAAATCAAAAAAATCAATTTTGGATTTTGTAAAGAATCCATTAGTCTATTACAAGCAATAATTTGAAATCTACTGTTACAGGAAATTTACTGAAAATCAAGTTTAACACATGCATACAATATGGTAGAAAACTGACCTGGCAGCAGGCTTCTGAAGTCTGTAACGTAGTCTGCTGTCCATTCCCTATCTGTGTTACAAGCGATCTCCAACTCATATGGTGTCACAATGGGTTTGTAGAAGTCGGACGAATCCAGGAGAGAATTCTCAGCACATGCCACCAACACAAACACATCTATCTCCATGAAATTGGCCAGCTTCGCTGGATTTAATTTCCCCACCACAAAAGTGTAACTCTTCTTTCCAGATTTTTTCACCATGTCTTTCAGCCGAATTATAACCTGTAAATAATCTGTGATTCCTAAAGTTCCTACTACTATTCCTAATATGTGTGCGTCCTTTGCTTTCTCAATCATGTAAAATCGCTTCATTAACTTACGGTTGATATTCACACTTTCCTTGCGACCCGTCTGAGTTAAAGGGTTGTAGGAATAAAACTGATTTGTATTGAACGTCATCATCAGATTGGTTAGAGTCAAACTTTCACATCCGATATAAAACATGGAGTAATTGCTAAGGGTACCCTCCTCTGGCAGCCAAAAGGTCCTCCCACATTTAGTGACCTTGAACCCTTGTCTTTTGCATGTTGTACAGTCACCTTGACCTTGAAGGTCTGTTCTACAATGGTTAGGAATGTCAAGGACAGAGACAACCAACTTTTGATAATCTCCTTCCAGGGCTTCTTTAATTTTATCTGAAATTTAAAAGAAAAAAATAACTTTAATTTTCATCTCTGTCACATAATGTTGCTTGCATTTCATCATAGGTGTCAACCTGTGAAACCTCCAATGAGGGAGAAAGTGCATGAAATGTGACTGAAACTGCTTTGCTCAATTTATCTTTCCCTTTTTATGTTTCAAAATAACTCCCAAATGCATTTAGTTGATTCAGAAACACCTGTTATGATCATTACAAACACCCTGCAGTAACTAGGAGATCATTTGACCACAGGATGTAGATTTCGTGTTTTTGCGAGTTTGAACTTGAAAGAGGGAGTTTCGAGGGAGATCGGTAATTTTTTGTCAAAATGAGGGAGTCTCAATAAAACAAGGGATATCAAACTGATCCATCAGGATCTCAAAAAAGCAGACATCTCACCAACTTAGGTGTTCAGTAATGGCTCTATCTATATGTTACTATTTGATCAAAAACTAACAATTGGACACTTTTCCAAGAAAAATTATCTGGAACTAATGAAATTGACATCCCCTTTGACAGAATAAGATTTTTTCTGTGACAGAAGTTGATAGAACACAGGGTGAAAACACTGTAGTATTACTTTTTCTTTAAATGTTTTTTGCTGTAACTGTAAACCTGATCAGAGATATGGAACATTTTATCAACACGAAATTTAAATGAGGATAGGCATCTGACAAGATAACAACCTGAATATTTACTGAATAATTACATTTACCTATGGCATGACTGTAGCCAGTCTCGTACAACAGCACAATTGGATTTGCCGTGTCAGGGAACAACTCCCGAAATTTTCCTTCACAGTCTGCCACGCTGATACTTGATTGGCCAAACACATACAGGATAGGAAGTCGCTGGGTGGTACTGAGACACGAGCGACCAAAATGGATCAGACCGTCTGCATTGTAGTGCTGTGCCGCCACCTCATCTACACAGCAGCTGTAAGTAAAAGTGCGACATTAACCACACAAGGCTGTTTAAAGGAGTTTATTTCTAACAATTTCATAATAAAAATAACATGCCAAGTGATTGTTATTCAAAGAATTTCAAAAAAGATATATGACATAAGAATGGTAGGGGGGGAATATATATGCACAAGTTTTCTTTCAAACAATTCTCTAGAAGCACAATTTTAACTGAAAGTCTTTTTCAAAAGTGTAAGATGATGGTTTATATTTTACTCACATACATGTACAAATGTATATATTTGCTAAACCAACCTGCCATATGATGTATCACCTAGGATGAACACCTGGCCATCCACTGCCTTACTGATAGCCGACGTCACTGGTACAGCATCACACATCAGCTCATCAGGAAACTGCAGCGCCACCTGGTTGATAGAGCAATATTTATGAAGTTTTCGTTTTAATATATCAATTCATCCAGTGTTAAATATTATTTTATGAAAGATTTTTAATCAATTTAATCTAAAGTTATAGAAAAAAATATTCCTGCTTGGTAAGAGATACAACTACTGAGCCATTGCTGTAACTGGGAGTAACCGAGTCACACATACAATCAAGCAATGAAATATATGATATTTTGAAATTTGAATGGAATCACAAAAGTATGCAATTTAAGAGGATTATTAATGCAGCTAAAATACATGTAAAAGATCAGCTTAAAATGAAGTCTTCACTAAAGCAAGTTTAACGCCTTATAATTAAGGGACCAAAGATAACGGGGGAGTTCAGGCATTAAAATTGTTGTTCAGATACTTAACATGTTATACATTTAATTATCTTACCAAATAAGTTTAATTTCCTGAAGTGTTAAAGCAAACCAATACTAGTAATTGCCTCCTGAAATATTTGGACATACATTTTATAACTCAAGACATTTTGAAAAAAAACTTGAATCATGTTTTTACTGTTTTCTTTACCCTTTGTAGATTCCTTTCTTGTATCCACTGTATACATTTGTTCACTTCATACACTTTGTTAATATCTCCATCAGCGGTGCGAACACAGGTTTCAACATCAGCATCAGCTTTACGTTCTAAAGACACTTCATCAGCTGAGAAAAATGTTGTGGTCGACATTTCACTGGCTAGAAAACAAAAATACATTTAGAAAAAAAAATCAGAAAGATGAAACAACAACATCTAGCTTCCGTAGTATAGACTTTACACTTTACCTCTTGCTTGGTGGTGGTGCATGCATTACCTGTTTACAAAGATTGCATCATGGTCAATAGCACAAATTTGAAAAATGAAATGGGTAAGTAAGACTAGGAATCGCATTTGACCCTTCTAACTTTATACAGACACTAATACGCTTGTTGTAGAACTGGACTGGGTAGATCATCAGCAACCAGGTAGCTCAATATTGGTTAGAGCGTCTGTCTAGCCTCAGTTATGTCCAGAGTTTGAACCCCGGTCTAGTTCTGCTACACTCTTGACTTTACTGAGCTAACTGGTCTTCAATGTTTAACGCAATCAGTTTTGACTATACAGTTTACTTTAGTCCGAGTTTCCTCTGGCCTTGACCCTAGACTTAGACATTTTGACAGATAGATGACCGGATCTGTCAAAATGTCTGAATCTGGTATCGGGGCCAGAGGAAACTCCCACTAATATAAACTGTCAGTTTGATTACTGCTGTGAAATTTAAAAAAAAACAAGCCTGTCTGATTTAGAAGTATTTAAGTAAATAGATTCCTATGTTACCGGCAACTCAGTACGAATAAAAAAAAGCAATATCAACATTGTTCTGGGATAAAATCCCCTGGACAAACAGAGTTATCCCCCCCTGACATGAATAAAGTCTATCCTGTCTGTTACGCATACGTGATCATGCGACAAATTATACCGTGTACTGTCAGATCAACTGGCTTTGTATGTCTCTATACATTTCTGCTGTTGTAATGTGTTGTCAATTGCACATAAACAAATATTGCATGGCGACTGTCTGGCTGTCAGTATGACAAATTATTTGCTACAAAATGAAGGATATTCACTCTTCCGTAACAGAAAATTTATCAAATGGGTCGAAAGTATTATAACACGTCTATAGCTAAATAGCTCCATCGGCAGACCGCACTGGACCTTTCTATTTGAAATGAAAGCTGATTGCCTGGAACACTTATTCTGGGAACTTTCGCTACGACTCTAATAGTATATCATTCAATGTTTTCTTCGTCCAAAACATAGTTATATGAATACCAATACTTCTTTTACTAGATAAGACAACACAGATGTGATTATACCTCGTAATTTATCTACAAACAACATGTACAAATATATTTACCCACGTGGAAAGCTTTACGTTTTCATTTCGTCAATGTCAAAACGCTGCTTAATGTGCACACACCTTACATACAAACGCTTAGTTCACAATACATAATAAATACCACTGTCTGGATAGGTTGCCGGAGAACAAAATCCGGAAAATTCAAATGGCTAAAATTTCTGAAATGTTCAGTACGGTTAACGAGGAATTGAGACACAAATTACTTTTATAAACCAAATATGCGAGTACTGATTAACGGTATTACAATTAGTGCGCTGTTTTCCTGCAACATGTATAAAGATAGGCCTACATGTGGATAAAACGTGACACTACCCAAATTGGTACAATTTTGTCAGATTTTCAATTATATTTAAAATACCAAATCACATATTAGGAAAGTTTGTTGATTTTCGACAAAGACTTTCCATAGTGTACTTTTTGATTTTCAGGAAAAGCTCGGAGTGAGATTTCTTCCATTTTTCTGTCATGATTAGGCCTAGTGCCCAAAAATGTACACCACGGGTGTTCAATTTTGCCATGACATATTCCCATGGATGCAGCGAGCTTAACCCCTGGAATATCGAGATTGGAGGGTACAGTATATAAGAAATATCATGATGAAACTAGCAGTTACAGAGGAAAGTATGGCAGAAATAAAGGAAGACATCATGCCGTCAGTTGGCAGTAGGTGGAGGGGTGCTTTGTCCCTAAGACAACGGGCAATTCAGAGCTACATATGTATTTCCCTGTTGGGTGTAAAAGGGAAGGTTTCCCAGACTTTATCAGAGTGTGTTGAGTAGACAAATGCGATTAACCAACCAATTAGGGCGATCAAGTCCAGCAGCGGAGTTGCTGGCCTGGTAAATCATACCACAATTAACCGTCAGGAGCATACTAGTATAGATGGAATAGTACGAATCTACTTCAGCAGAATCAATCTGCTTTTTTTATGTTGGGGAGGCTACAGCATCCTAGCAAACCTTGACATGGATAAAGGATAGTGATGGGATGTACCAAATCCATGATAATCGCCAAGGCGGAAGGACGGGAAACCAGTTGGCCCAAGATGGAATCAGGAATCTACCTACCACATGAATCGAGGTTTTATTGATGACCTGACCGTGACTAGGACTGGTAGAAAATAGTCCGCAAGTCAGTCTGTGCAGCGGGCCAAAGGAACTCTCAAGCCCCGGGACATAGTTGGAGCAACCTGCCCAGGACGGCAAGGATTGGTGACAATGTGGACAAGAACAGACGACAGGGAGATAAATTCTATGGTATAACCACTAATTCCGTGGTATAACGAGAAATCCAAAGAGAAAAAGAAAGACCAGTCTTGATTCCTGCCAGTCTTATCTTAGCGTCTTTAAAATCTTGCAATGACATCGCCAATCTGACCTTTGCGGCCTTGAACTCCTCCGCCTCCTATGACAGTGGGAGTTGCAGTTATGATGTCCGGTTTAAGAGTTTAACACTAGAAAAACTGGGCGGCGCTCCAAGCCACCTAGGCAGGTAGTTGCTGATGGATCTCTCAAGTCCTGCCACCTTTATCAAATGAAACTTGATCATATGGCATCAGGAACCACACGAGTCTCGTCTCTGCAGCAGTACATGTTGGAAGGTCCATGCCTTGAATTTCCCTAACAGGCCCGACTTGTCGATATTCTCATCCACTCTACTATCTGCTTCTACATGCACATTACTAATGCTGCTTCTATCTTTCAGTGACGCATCAAACCACTTTCCATGTCACTTGACTGAGTTGTATCTAATTGTTGGGATGTCCTCTCATTATGTCTTGGATTGTTGAGTTAGTTGTCCCGTCTTCGTGGTCGTGTACCTAGATTTGCTTACCTTGAACCTCACCCTTCACCTTGAGACTATCTCCTGTAATGCAGACAAATCCATCTTGCTCGTGCGTGGTGATAGGAAAGCAAGGACAATGGTATAAACTGGCTTGCAAATGGTATGGGTACAAGATCGAAGCTGCCAGATTGGAAAATTGCATGGACAAACCCGTGGTGCTGTGAAATGTTGAGGATCCTGCTGTGGTTGGTAGGCGACACTTTATCATGCTAGGTTTGCCAAGAACATAGGACAATGGGCCATAGCCTTTCAGCTTAAAATACAGCTCTGACACGGGGACTATACAAGTCGGAGTATGACCAGATGCTTCAGGAATTAGCTGATGTTATCGAGGTGAAAAGGAAAGACCACCACGAAAACACAAACCATCCTTCATCCGGATTATAAAAGCAAGGAAGAAGACGAGTAGAGCAACACTGCGCAGCGCTGGTATTCTGGAAAGGACAGAGGCAAGAGAGAAGAAATTTGTGTTTCCGGAAGTGGTACTGACAATGCTTTGTCCTGCCGTAGTAATATGTCTGCCGTATTCAGACATATTTCAGCTATCGAAGTGACTGTGCCCTATGGGGAGCGATGTAACAAGGCCAACGTGATCTCATAGTACAGTGTAGGGAGCGGGGTGGTGCACTTGGCTGCTTCATATGTTGTTTGGATGCAAATGATACCTTAGAAGACATGATGCCTTTGGATGTATTCGGGTATGCTCGCAAGACGGCTGTGCGCAAATTACAAGTAGCGAAGGATGCTGAACGTCATGCTGGCTGTGGAGTAGACGGGAGGAATACGACTTGAATTCTTCCATTTATGGACAACGATGACATTCCAAGACAAAGGTTGAAGCGTCCAGAGACAGATGGAGCCGGCTGATGATGTCAATTGATTTGTGTGGTGTTACACCATCTTTACAGGTACAGTGTACATAATTATTGTTTGGCGTCGAGTTACCTAAGAAGAATATATATATTTGAAAATTACACGAGTCCCGACTAGGTTTCCCGATGGTTATGTTGATGGTCACTTGTGGTAAATTAAGATCTTCCAGCTACATTTATGAAGCATTTCCGAGTTTGTTACAGACTATAATTATAACCACATAGTAAGTAACCTCAGAAGTGATGAAGAAAACGCGTGTGATTTCCCGTACAGCCGTAAAACGATTATAGAAGTTATTACACCGAATACAACTAACAATTCTACAAACATGTTACCAGCTTATATGCTGAAGAGGTTAAAAGACAAGATCACAATTTCCTTTGTTAAGTTTTTTAAATATCAAAGATATGAATCTCGCTCTTTTAACAATAAAATAAATCCTAGCCTTGTATTATATAAACATTGAAATGAATACGCGCCTTGAGAGTATTGATATAAGCAGTGAAAAATTTACCGAAGTTTACGCCCGTAAAATTCTATACCGTTTACACAAAAAAATCCTTTTTATGAATCGAAGATGAAACGATTATTAGTGAATGGGCTTATCTATTTCCATATAAGGATTTAATCTCTTAACAATTTGTCAATCTTTAGGTGCCCGGATATTTTGAACGATTTCACTATCTCAGTATCAATATTGACTGAGAAAAAGATCAACGGCCTTGGGTTAGACATTTAATAGAACTAAAAACCTAATCTGGATACGGCCGTCATGAGTAACAATAGTCGCAGGACACCGGTCACTTTTATCGACACACACATACGCACGTTTGTAAAAGTTATATTGGTATAAAAATTGTACCTTAGCGTAAACCGCCGTTATAGTTTTAGTGTTGTCTCTGCCCCGGGACACGTGATTAAGTACCCGGTTAGCCAGTATTTATGTTGGGAGGAGGGACATGCACATTGTGTTAGATGATAAAGCACTTTTTAACTGATGTACCTTTCGTAATTAGCTCCACAGGCGAGTTTAATCAAGATTAGTCATCGTGGTAGACGGTAGTACAGGTGAGACTCTGAAGGTAAACATATTTATTCAGGGAAACGGCACGGCAATATTCTCACCCGGACAACTAGCTCTATAAACTTCCCAAGTAAGAGTGTCCTACCGAGTCAAGTACCTGTTAATTGGTTTTACCTGGACTCATGTACCTGCCTAAATTAACCGTCTACCTTACTTTGTAGTGTTTGAGAAGTGTAAATATTTTTTCCCACGGAGAGCAATTGTTGAAAGGAATATCGTTAACAGCTTCAAGGTAAGTTATTTTGACATCAATTCTATGAACTAAGTATAGGTTTTAAGAAGTGAAATGTTTGTGTGCCGTGTAGAACCACAGAATTAGATTAAGTCCGTGGTAGAACCGTATGTACAGATGTATGTGCATACAGCACATGTGATTGCAAAGTGTCATATGAGGACACGCCAAACAAACGAAAGACCCCATGAAAAATATGGAACTTTTTCGGAAGTTTAATTTGGAATATAATACTACAACTCTGAGTGTACCAGTGTGTGCTTCTAATTAAGATTAGTTAGAATTGCATGCGAATATTAAGATATTCTGATCCCAAGTCACCTGTGTATTACGCTGACAGTACAGGTATACTGACAGCACAGGGGCCTGTTCGTTTGTGCGGAACAACCGGTTTGTCCGTTTGAAAATGTAACAATTTAGGATATAAATCGTGGCGGACCTGCAAATGTTTATGCATGTCTTGCAAGACTTTGTCAAGGCTCTCCTGAAAGCAGCATTAGATTACTAGGTCCGACCTTATTTAATAAATGAAAAACTGTTGTCCGACCGGTTCAACCGTTTCCTTACCGGTAGCGGATCTGCAGTGGCTTTAATTAAAGAAGTAAAAAATCACTTTTTGCTGTCGCTCTTACTGATTTTGAAATAATGAATGAATTCGATAAACCTGTACGCTTGGCGTTCACTGACATGTGTGGTCCACTATAGAAGGCCATTCCGTTAGATGTACAATGTATATTCAGAGTAAAGTTTGACGTGACTAACATTTGCTTATGCAAACAAAGTGACACCCGAACCAAACCTACCGCGTGTTGTTTGAATATATTTCCATTAATGTATTATACCGAAGATTATAAAATATACAATCATGTTCTTGTTTTTATACAGCATGTGTAATGAACCGTAATCTTATTAAACAAAGCACCCCAGTTTATAACCACAGTCAGCGTATGACTCATTGCAAATGTACTTATTTAAACCATTGACAATGTTTTTATTCAAAATGAGATACTGTCTTCAGACAGAGATCAA